CCTCTTCTTTGTGGCAGCCCCTGAGATATTGGAACACTGCTATCATGTCTCCCCTAGTCCTTCTTTTCATTAAACTAGCCATGCCCAGTTCCTGCAACTGTTCCTCATATGTTTTCTGCTTTCATCTGCTGAACAAAACTCCATATTGGCGACAGGAAGGGCATCTGGCCATTAAAACACTGCTAGCTCCATTCAGTTGCCCAGACTCCACCCGATAAGGGATTAAGGGGCCGTGAAAAGATGATGATGATGATTGTAGTTAAACAAGGTTCAAATACTTATAGTAGGCTGTGGTTTTTTTTTTAAAATATATCACTTGTGACTGACAGATCTGCTCCCCTCCAGTCTTTTAACACATGTGACGGTTGTCTTTTGCCAGAACATTCTCCTGCAGCAGCTTGGGGTATCTCCTTTCTCTGAAGGGCCATGGCCTCTCTACATCCACCCCCAGAGCTTGTCCGTGTTGTCCCGTTTCCTCCTCATCTGGCAGCATAAAGCCAGCACCCAGACGGACCCGGATGTCCCAGAATGCCTGAATGTGTGGGAGAGGTAGGAGGAAGTCTTGAGAATGGGCTAAACTCTTCCAGTCAGAGGATCCGTGGTCAACAATTTCATAACTCAAGTCTCTAGGCTAGTGGACAAAGTTAACCTATGCTTGGATTCTCCTTGCAACGCACATAGAAGGACCATTCAGATAAGTCAATGGTTGATTCACAGCTTTGGCCGGTCACACCAAATTCAGAGTGTTTTCAGTCCAGTTGTGATGGATAATTGTTGCACAGTTACCATATTTTTTGGACTATAAGACACACCCACCCCCCCTCCTGCAAAAGTGGGTAGAAATGCCTGTGCATTTTATAGAGTGAATGTTGCTGCAGCCTTGCCCACCTCCCAGCAATTTGCCTCCGTGCAACAAACAGAAAACAGCCTAGTCAGCTTCAGCACGGCCTGATTTAGCACGAGCAGCTGATTGGCAGTTGGATCGGCCTCCCGGAATATTGCCGATCAGCTGTTCCAGGCTGCAGGATCGTTGCCGTTGCTGCCTCCATTTTCGGCCTCTGTACGTCCTGTTTTCCGCCTGTCCTGTTCAGCTGCAATAGGCAGCGGGGAATGGCCCAAAAACAGGATGCGCAGGGGCCAAAAATGGGACGCAGGAAGGCCGAAAACAGGATGTGCGGAGACTGAAAATGGGGCACAATGGGCAGCGATAGGTGGCGGCGATCCCTGCAGCCTGGAACAGCTGATTGGCGGTATTCCCGGAAGGCCAATCCAACCGCCAGTTAACTGCTCATGCTAAATCAGATTGTGCTGAAGCTGACCAAGCTCTTCTCTTGTGCGCTGCTTGGAAAATCCAAGCATGGGTTAAATTCAGCCGATTACCTCGAGACTGAGTTGAAAAAAGTCTTGTCCATGTCTCTCTTGTCCTCCGGAAGCCAGTTTTTTAAATTCAGTCTAGCCAGGCTGTTTGCTGTTTGTTGCAAAGAGGCAAATTGATGGGAGGCAGAGGCAGATTTCTTTTCTTGTTTTCCTCCCCCAAAAGCTAGATGCCTCTTATAGTCCAAAAAATATGGTATAGCTAAAATGATATCCTGATTACATAGATAACACTAAGGTATAAGAGCTGCTGTTTATAGATTTTTTCCTTCTTTCCTTCCTGAATGTCTCCCTCCCTCTCTTCTTCCCATTCCTTCTTCCCTTCCTCTCTCCCCTTCCTTCTTCCCATCCCTCCCTTCCTCCCTGATTATCTTTCCTCCCTCCTTTCTTCCCATTCATCTCTCCTTCCCCCCCTCCTTCCTACCATTCCTCTCTCCTTCCTTCCTTCTTCCCATCCCTCCCTCCCTTCCTGAATATTTCTCTCCTCCCTTCCTTCTTCTCATTCCTCCCCCTCCCCTTCCCATTCCTTCCTCTTTTCTTCCCATTCCTCCCTCTCTCCTTCCCTCCCACCATTCTTCCCATTCCTTCCTCTCTTCTTCCCATTCCTTGTTCCCTTCCTCTCTCTCCTTCCTTCCCATCCCTCCCTCCCTTCCTGAATATCTCTCTCCTCCCTCCTTCCCATTCCTCCCTCCTTCCCTCCCTCCCTTCTTCCCATTCCTTGTTCCTTTCCTCTCTCTCCTTCCTTCCTTCTTCCCATCCCTCCCTCCCTTCCTGAATCTCCCTTCTCATTCCTCCCTCCCCTTCCTTCCCAATCCTTCCTCTCTCCTCTTCCTCCCTCCCTCTCTTCCTGAATCTTTCTATACACCCCTCCCTCCCAGGTTTGTGGCCACTTTGAAGCAAAACGCCCTGCAGGGGATTCTTCCCGGCGACACAGAGGACCTCAATGTGGAGCACCTCCAGCTCCTGCTGCTCATCTTCCACAGCTTCTCTGAAAAGGGCCGACGGTCCATCCTGACCCTCTGCGTCCAGACCATCCTGGACGTTACAGCCAACCTGGACTCCCAACTCCGATGCGTCCCTCTCCTGCTGGCCCGCCTTCTCTTGGTCTTCGACTACCTGCTTCACCAATACTCAAAGACCCCCGTGTATTTATTTGAGCAGGTGTGTGGTGAATCCATGGAGGCAGGAGTGGGGCTTGAGGGAGAGGAGAATGCCCAACTCACACATCAGCTTGTCAATCAAGGTTTTCTTTGGGAGCCAGTCCATCCTTTGAATGCTCTCTTAGGTACCTGGAGATGGCTTGAACAATGAAAATAATCACCAAAGTTCAGACTGAAAAAAATTGATTTATTGGCTTGATTCCTGCTTTGCTTTTGTGCTCCACTGGGCCTGCCTGTTTTCAGACCCAAATCATGGAGGAAAAACATCCCAAAATGAGCCAATAAGTTACAACTTCCTTGCTTTCTTCTCTCTCTCCCTCTCTTTTTTCTTTGAACAAGGAGCCATTCAGATAAATCACAGTCAATCAGTGTAGAAAAAAATAGTTTTCTCCTTTTGGGATTTACCCTGCTGCCCCGTATTTATTTCCTGTCGCCTCTTTGTGTTTTCTAGGTCCAGTACAACCTCTTAACCCCTCCAATCGTTTGGGCCAGCGCGAGCCAGGAGGGCAGCCGACCGGCCTGTTCCCCACTTTATCATGGCTTTAAGGAAGTGGAAGAAAACTGGGCCAAGCACTGTCCCTCTGGTACGGAAGGGCTGCCGAAGAAGAACCGTAGGATTAGGCCCCTCAAACACCTTGGAGGAACTGTCTGTCCTTTAGGCGGGGCCTAAAGGACAGACAGATAGCAGCGCCCCTGAGAATCTTCTCCCTTCCTTGAGACCCCTGGACACCCCAGGTGCAGAACTTAGCTCCCACCTGGCCCTTTGGAGAGGGGGACATAGCCCAAGGTATCCAGGAAGAAGAGTAGGTTGGGTGTGATTTCTGACCCCAGGGGTGTGTTTGTGTGTGCATTCCTCTTGGAAATTTAAAAACTCATGTTTTCCGACTGGGACACGATGCCTCAGATTCAGATTGTTTATTTGTATGCCGCCCTTTTCCCTTGGGGGACTCAGGGCGGCTCACAATCCAAGGGGGTGGGGGGAAAGACAAACTTTTACATATAAGACAGTACATGATTAAAACGCAACATTCATACCATTCGGGCAGGTTACAATCTTTAGCCCCAGGCCTGACGAGATAGCCAGATTCTAAGGGCTGTGCGGAAGGTCTGNATTCACAGCCCATAATGAGCCACAAACAGTCTCTGAAGAGTCCGACAGATGTCTACCAGAGTCTTTTAGGGTAATGCTGATAAGCACCCACCTTTATCTCCCGTGAAACGCTGCCAAAGACCTAACTGCCAATTAGTTTTGCAAGGTCAAACGAAGCACAAAATCAAATGGAGCTTCTTAGAGTTTGAATAGACCAGAATAAACAAGGTTTCTTTCTGCAAAGGCTCAGGACCATTTGTTCCTCTCTTATGTCTTATGAGAGGGGTCAATTATCTCCAAACCTTACTCCCAAGTTGCCCCTTTTGTCTTAACTGTTCTTGCCTTCTGAAAACTCTCCACATGTACATAGGCTCACACTGTTCTTCTGCCTTGCAGATGTCAGGCTCCAGAGGCAGCACATAACTACCAGATGGCCCTGGCCCACTCTCTGCCCCCGATGCAGACCCCTCATCTGAGCCTTCCCCAGATTCCAGGACTGGCCCATGTTCCTCCCCAACCTCCACATTGTCCTAATCTGCTGCCAGTTCCTCAGGCCGTCGGCAGACCACAACATAGCCCATACAACATCGGGCATCAGAAAACACCTATACTTTCAGTCCTTATGCTGCAGTTAAGCACATTTTGGCATTTGATGGTACCCAAATTACGATGCCCCAACACAAACTCCACCCTTTCTTGATGTGGGTAAGAAAGATCGCATCTTGCATCTGGATGTACACTTTCTCCCTTGCTTGCCCCCACCTCCGCTGCAGATCCTCACAGCTGCAGGATCCGATCACAGCTGTGTTTGGGAAACAGAAGAAAAGAGGGGGGGGAAGCTCTCTTGTTTCTCACTACTGTTCTTCAATGCTTTCATCCATTAGTAAATAAATTAAAGGCAGAATATGTGCAGAGAACAAAGGGTAGAAAAGGGCTCATTCTTTGCTCCTGAGAGCAAGCAAAGAGAAGAAATGAATTCTTTGCAAGCTTAAACTTTGTTCTGAAGCACAAAAGACTCTGGGGTATACAGAAGGTCAGCTTTTTTTGTTTTGCATCCAAGCCTAACGCACAGAAACATCACCTGGAACTCTTCTAGAGAGCAATTAAATGAGGGCAAAAATCAAATATTCACAACCTTAATGTGTTTTGCTCGATGCTCCTAGCTGGTGCATGTTAGTGCATGGCTATATGAAGTTCCCACAATGACTTGTGGGAATATGTGGCTGCATTCACATAAAACATTTAATTGGTTACTGAATGAGCCCATTTTATTATTAATCTAAGTTCCACACCACCTTTACAACTCTAAGGGCAATATATAAGAATCTCAAATAGCAATGTCAAAACACACTCACAGTCCATCTTGTCTGCTGGCAACTGCAAGCCCCTGCAGTTTTTGTGACAATGGGATTTTTTTGGGAGGGGGGGGATGTTTTTGCTCTTGCCTTCTTCCTAGAGTTGAGAGAGAGCCATTGGTTCAAAATCATTTAACAGTTCTTGTGTCGGTACATCTGTGTAGGTGTCTAAGGCAGGAAAGACTAAGCACACACTTTTCCTATTTGCAATCCAGTGCTTTTAACTTCTATATCAAGGGTGTCAAACTCAATTTTATTAGGGGCCGCATCAGGGCTGTGGTTGACCTCAGGGAGGTTGGGTGGAGTGGCCAACTGGGTGGGCATGGCCAGCTTGACACCACTCCCCAAACTGCTGGCATGTTTCCTCTTTGCACTGGCTAGACTGGGCTGAAGCCACGCTGGCCTGATGTTGCATCTTCATATTGGGTAGACCGGGCCAAAGCAACATAGGTAGTCTGGGTCGAAGCAAA